AAGAGAAAGGGGTTTAGGGTTTAGTGGGTAGGGGCGTCAGCGTCGAGTTTTAGTGTGACGCTGCATCGAGTCGCCACATATCCAGGCCAACAACTATGCCTAGAATCTGTAAAAAGGATCCCCCCCCCAACCACACACACACACACACACACACACACACACACACACACACACACACACACACACACACACACACACATATACCGATATCAAAAGTAGCAGTGTGTGTCATTTCCGGAACTTTGCCGCTCAGAGTTCTAGCTGAAGAAAGACGGAACCTTTACCAACGAAAGAGGTCAACCACACTAAGAACAGTATGAGATAGGATGTACCTGATGAATACAGTCGCAAAGTCACCGTAACCAATTTGGCGCCGAATATTAATTTTTTTTCAAAAACTAAATGCCAAAAAATTGCTCATGAATTGCTCTTTCGGTATAAACAATTGCTCCACTGCTATAATTAATAATTAATTAATTAATCGTAATTAAAAAATCAAAATTAAATTCCCGATTATCTCTAATTGTGAGAACTTATGTTAATTGTAATAAATGTCAAATGTTTAAGCTTAAAAATACGTTAGTAAAAGTAGATGTTTGGACATGTCCAAAACTCTGCAGAGTTTTGTGAACACGACCTGCAATAAAGGCATGATTCTACTATTAATGCATCTGAAACACTGTCCTGTAATTCAATAATCCAATAATTTCAGCAGCATACAAATAATTATTCTTTCATAATTAAACATTGAGCCTAAATAGAATAACCATAAAAAGTTTGTTTACATGGACATATACGCATGTAACTTAATACATCACTATAGCTTGTTCTCATAAGAACGACAATCAAATTGTCGAGACGATGACGTCACAATTGTCATTCGCAAGTTTAAAGGTGCAATATAATTATTTTCGTCCTAGGCGGACGTATGGGGGTTTTTACGCGCAGACGACACTCAATTTGTAAATAATACGCGTACGCGCCAGTATCTACTGGGCTGTATAGAACTTTATACAGTCGAGGACAATGTCACGCAAGCGTCACCAATCTCTATACAGCCGAGTAGCTTACGTTTCAACTGTCATTTTAAATTAAAAAGTGCACATTTGACTAACTTCAAGACTTTCATGTATTTTTATTTAGAGGATTAGAGGGTTATGACGTCGTACTCTATTTATTTATAAATTGAGTATCCCCTGCACGTAGAAACCCGCATACGTCCGCCATAGGACGAAAAATTTTTTAAGCACCATGGGCAAGCCACGCGCAAATACGGTCTCGGCGATAATTATTTGCAGCAGGGGTATAAAGCCTCGGGCCTTGGCTTTATACTATCCCTGCTGAAAATACTTATCACCTCGACCGTATTAGCGCGTGACTCGCCCAAGGTACATAAATAACTATTATAGTATTAATTAAGTAAAAACGATTTTACGCACAAAACAACTATCATTCCCAATAGAAAAAAGGATGAGCAATTTTTTGGCATTTATTACAATTAACATAAGTCCTCACAATTAGAGGAATTATTAATTATGGCAGTGGAGCAATTGTTTATATCGAAAAAGCAATTCATGAGCAATTTTTTGGCATTTAGTTTTTGAAAAAAAATTAATATTCGGCGCCAAATTGGTTACGGTCGCAAAGTCTCTGGCAATGTATGGAGTAGAAGTAGGGGGGGGGGGGTAGAAAAATTCGGAGGAGATAAAGAGAGTACAGCGAAAATTGCGTAAGGTGGCACTGGGGGTGAGCAGAGATACACCGGTATACATATGGAGGGAAGAAATGGGGGTCGAAGATATGGAGGTAACTCTAAAAGAGAGAGCAGTGAGATATCTGAAGGACATAATGAAAATGGAAGAGGGAAGATGGCCGAGGATTGTGATGAAGGAAGAGATGAGAGGTATACTGAACGGTAAGCCAACAAAATGGGGAAAAGTGGTGAGGATGACATTAGAAAAAATGGAGTGCGAAGAGGTGATAAAGATGATGATAAAGAGAAAAAACTAGATGGGCATAGTGCGTGTCAGGGAGTAAGAAAGAAAAGAGGACGAAAATGCGATAGAAAAGTCAACGTATTGCAAAATTTATAAGAAGATCAAAGTAGCAAAAAATCAGAACTTTTATTGGAAAAAAGACAAAATAAGAAGAGAAGACAAAGAAATACGGGCCAGAATACGCTGTGGAAACATATCAGAAGAGCGGGTAAAAAAGGTTACCGAGATTGGAGTTGTAAGATGTGTAAAAAAGAGAAGGAAAACTTGAAGCATCTATTGAAGTGTGAGGGGGTGTATAATGAGATGAGTAATGACGGTAAAGCCATGCTAGATGAATGGAGAGAGGTAGAGGGTAGAGGGTGAGATGGAGGAACTAAGACTGATAGAGATACTAAAGGGAGGGGTCAATGTGAAGATGTGCCCGGTCTTCAGAAGAATTAAAAAGGTCCTGAGGAAAGAAGCGGAATCACGGAGTTTGGTGTAAATGGATATCCAGTACGACGACGGGCAAGATTAAAAGAAAATTAAAAAATAAAAACAAAAAGAAATATGAAAGATATAATTACTATATATTATATATAGTTATGTAAAAACTTTGTATAAGACACTAGTTATGCAACTAAAATTCTATTCTATCTAACTTAGTCATTTTTTATAACTACCTACTCTAATTTTTATTAAAAAAAAAAATTTTTGTAACTAAGCTTATTTTTTATAACACCATTTTAGAAATTAATAAAAACATTCAACGACCCTTAGAGATAATATTATATATAAATATTATTTATAAATATAAAAAATAAAAACTCTATACTATCGTTACCGTAAATCTACCGTAATTCGAATCCACCAGGGATACAAGAAAAAGTATTAATCGTGGAAAAAAAATATATCTTTTATTATTTTTTCGAAAAAGTAAGAAAAACAAATAAAAGACAACTTTCAATAATATTTTCTATTCTCAGAAATTACATTCAAAAAAAATATAAAAAATTGTAATTAAAATAAAACTATAACTGACAGATCCGATGAAGTAGTAGTAGGTTAATTGAAAATTATTTTTATTTAGTTGATGTTTGAAATTTTTTTTTTTTTTTGATCAATTTTCTTATTGTATAACAAATTTTTTGTACAAAAGTTATTTGGATAACTATTTCAAAACTTTATAAATACATATTGCTGCCTCTTCATACAATCATATTGTAATTAGAATACTATGAATAAATATGAGCTTCAACTCTTAATCTTCTACAATCTTCATAAAAAAGTATAAAATAAAAGTAGTATGGCAATTATAAATAATAAAAAAAAAAAAAAGATATAGTAAATAATCAAATTCACTCTTCTTTCAGACATTCATGGTATTATAAATTTATACATCATTTTCACGAGCGTCAACTGTTAAAATAGATGTGTATCGCACGCGTTTATTTACCGAATCAATAACAGGAATAATTTTTTTGTTTAAATCTTCACGTTGAAGGTAGACTAGAGTACAAATTAATCCTACAAGAATCAAAGAAAGCATGGTAATGGCAACAGTAGATCCAGATGACGGAGAAAACATGCTAACTCTTGAAACACAATTTTTTTTTTCTTGTAAATCTTTCTTATGTCCATCTGAAAATAAAATAAGATTTTTTCATAATTTAGGTAAAATAAGGTTTTTAAAACTTAAAAATTTATTCAAACTTATTCGTTGTTATATTGTTTCGTATATAAAAAAAAAAAAATAAAATCGACACAACGCTATAACGCAAGTATGTTTGACAATTGAATTGATTTATCGATGATTTACAGCAAATTGTAAAAAAGGTTTATTTTTAACAGTGGTTGAATGAGATTAGATTGATTAGAATACTTATTTAAAAATAGTTATTAAACAATTTCATTTCTAAATTTTTAATATGAACTGCATATTTTTGTAATTCTCTAAAATTAAAATGCACTATTGAAGATGATTGCTTATACAATGTAAAGATAATTTTAAATACAATAGAAACTATAAACTTAGCAATTTTGCAGAATTGAGGGGAATGGAATGGACTTGTTCTGAAATTAAGGGTTTACATGGGTTTCACGGTTTTGAAAAATCGATTTTTTTTTATCTTATTAAATTCTACAACATCTCTAGAATATTGCCCATGTCCTCAAGTTTCAAATCGATCCGAATGATCGTTTCGGAAATACAGTTTTAAAAAGTTGCGTGCTAAAAGTGCTGTTATATTGTCTCTCCAAATTTTAAACGTGTTTTTCTCAAAACTATGTTTTCAAAGACGGTACCCAAGATTTCTCGAGAACTACTCAACCGATCTTGATGAAATTTTAGACAAGTCTTCGAAATATAATTTACAAGGTCTTGAACGAAGGATTTTTTTTTTTTTCAATTACAACTATTTAAAAAAAAAAAATACCGCGAAATTTTAGCCAAATTTTTTGTGAAAACCTCTACCAAACATCCAATTTTCATTTTTTTTTCCTTTATTCAAGACCTAGTTTGAAATCTTAACTAAAGCACATAAGTATTTTTTTTCACTTCTGATGATCCTACTAGGAGTTCTGCTGATCACGCGGACGCATTTTTTTTCCAAAGGGCTCGTCGGAAATGACGTCACATTGCAAGAGTTTTTAATATTTTTTTTTTTATGTCAGTAATCCCTGATTAAACATGTATCTTTAAGACAGTAAAAAGTTTGAATAAAATATTTCATTTTTTCTATTAAAAAAAAAAATTATTGAAAATAGGCCATTTTTTCCCGGAGGGAACCCATGTAACCCCTTAATTAAAGGAAAGAAAGCATATAAAAGTCATATGATTAATGTAAACGACCAGTATCGTCGTCAAACAAATAGACCTTTATCTTCACTGGTTAAAGAAAAAAATTCAAAACGGTGACAATATTCATTCTCCATAAGAGAAGGAATCATTAAGCATTGAAAAGGAATTCCTCATCTACGACGATAATGACAATGCCTCTTAATATTGATCATCAAAATATGATTATACTGCAATCGTGGATACTATTTCGACCATAACCGTTCCTAGGAAGAAAATTCAGATTCGTTCCAATTGAATTTAATCTAAATTAAGGTACAAAAAAGATCTGTATAAATTGAATTCGATCTGCCTAAATCTGTCTAGATCTGACTAAATATAATTATTTGAGATAAAAGTTACGACATACCTGCACTGATCAAATCTGAATAAATTAGATCAAGTGACAAAAATTTTAATGTTAAATAAATATAATAAAATAAAATAGAAACTAAAGTGATCTACAACATCAACAGTCTTTTCAGATTTTTTATGAAAATTTTGAGCAGAAAAAAAAAGATACAACAATACTTACTGTCATTGCACTTGAGAAGATTTTTATTCCTTACAAAAATTTTAGTTTTTTTCATCCATTTTATGAATGGATTAAGTTCGCAAGAACAGTCAAATGGATTATTTGATAAATCAATTGTAACAGACTGATTATGCTTCGCAAACGTATCTAAAGTTTTCAAGTCTTGTTCTAAAATTTTTGTGAAATTATTGTGTTGAAGATCTAAAAATCTAAGCTTGTGAAGGCATGATAAGTTGAAGTTCAGTGCGTTGAGATCATTATCTCCTAAATGTAGATCCAATAAATTAGGAAGATTGCAAAAAACATTTGAATCTTTAAAGTCTGAAATTTCATTTTGTTCCAAGTGCAGCTTAATCAATTGATCTAAATGACTGAAATAATAATGATCATTATTATGGAGTTGAAATATTTTAGTTATTATAAAAGTTTAATAGTAAAATACCTGTTGAAAAAAATTTCATGAAGAGTTTCTGCAATATCTCTAGGCTGGCCATCCTCAAAAGCATCCGTAAGATGTAATTCAAGTAAAGATATGAAATTTGAAAAAACTCGCGGATGATTACTTTGAGTATCCAAAGATAGTTCATTAAAATCTAAGGATAACCGTTGAACATTCTTCACATGATGATAAGCTTTTCCACTGATTTCACGGATTTTATTATTTGACATGTCAATCACTCGAAGACTTGGAATACGATCTAAAGTCCCGAAAATATTCCATGGCAGTTTTTGCAATATATTTCCCGTAAAAATAAGTACTTGAGTTTTATTTGGAAGATTTTCAAGGGGTTCAGTACTTGTAAATTTAGTATCTGTACAGTTTACAACATATTGGTGTTTTCCTTCATAGCAAATTCTTGAGCAATAGCACAGATTTTTAAATGCAGGTCCACATTCAAGGCGTGCTGATTCCGTTGTTTCCAAACTATGCCAATTATCATGATTACAATCCGGAAAATCTTCCATTCGGCACAGAGTGATGAGACTCATAAGTGACCACAGGATTTTCATTTTCATCTTGCAACTGAAGTCAATCATTTAGAATATTTTCTTAATTAGTTACTATCCTGATTAAGACATATAATTTAAAATGATCCCATCCATACAAAATGTATATTTATTTATTAGTTAACTTAAATTATTTTGAATTTTTTCAAATTATTTTTAATCATTTCGAATTAAACTTCTTAATCAAGGTAAAACATCAAACAGAATTAAGCTATTTAATTTTTGTTAGTCATTTAAAATCACAACTCCACCTATTTTTAACATGATTATTATTTTCGTTTTATTTATTTTTCAATTTATCAAGAATAGAATAATTTAAAGAAAAAAATCTATCTGTGATGCAACGTAAGTGTATTTGAATTTCGAAACAATTACCTAAATTTCCAAAATATTTTCCAACTCAAAGTTGATGTTTGAAATGTTAATGTTTAGAATTATTATTTACTTTTATTAAAATTATGAAATAAAAAAAATTATATGAAGAATAGTATTTCTTTGAATTGTTTATTAATGATATTTTTAAACTATTAAACTGATCGAGTTAATTCACACAAACTCTTGCGACTCAGAGCCCACTGTAGATACATGGGGTATACACAGTGTAACTAACAATATAAATCAAAACTCGAAATTCCAATACAGTTAATATGAAAAACAGATGATACCAGTCATCGCTCTGCTCAGATAGTCATAGTTTACCCTCAATTAAAATTGTTTTGTTTTTTATAACACAAAGTACTATTTGGTTTTCACATAAATTTGTTTACGACATAGGAAATATAACAGTACAAATCCCGAAATTTCATTAATGAATAAGAAAATGCATGGAGCAAATTTTATATTACTATATGTCAATAATATACATGAATATTTTGAAACTTACTCGACTATCTAAGAGATTTTATAGCAAAATTTTACCATGAAGATAAATACAATAATAAGATTTTTATAAAATTTACATAAAAAAATGGAAAAAAGTAAACAAACGAATAAAATTAAACTTAATTAAAATAATTCATCCTCATCTTAATAGTGATCAACATTTAGAAAAAAGATATCTAAATAAAGCTGATTTAAAGATTTAAAATGTTTGGTTTGCTCTCAAAAAAGCAAAAATTTTCGTTTTTTTAAAGATTTCCAATTGTTTAAATCGATATCTTATTCTATGGTAACTTACTTGAATCATCAAAATATCATATTAATCTAAATATCTTACTATAATCAAATATTTTTCGAAATAAAAAAAAATGAAAGTTACTGCATGTTTAAATTTTCACTAGACACATTAAAAAAAAAAAAAATAGATGAATTTATTCGAAAAACTTCAATCGTTTTCCTTTTGTTTGATTATCATTCTATAAATTATGAATGATTTGTAGAATTAAGAAGCATTATCATTAAAAAATTATTGTCTTGATTTAATTTTAACTTTAGTATATTCATTTATTTGAGCATATTAAAATTATGAAAATAATTTAAAAATTTTATTGAAAGGCTTGATGTATAAACACAAAAATTTTAACTTAAGTAAGCACACGTTGTAAGCAGCATAAAACACAAATATATTTAAAATATGCTATTGGGATAACTGTACGGCGTTGAGAAGTCTTGTGGTAGATCGTCTACCTGAGCCACACCTGTAATCCCACTCCGATTCAGGTTTTACCACTTCTCTCTTTACTTTTTTCATTTATATTTCCTACTATGTGCATGATGATCTCACATCTTTGAGTAGGTGGTTTAACTTTTAACTACTTTGACTTTTTTATAGAAGACAATATCTATATTAATAAGAAAATCCTATCATTATAAGTGAGATCATTTGGAAACATTAGTTTTGTACCTTTTAAAATAGTTTTCTCTCTTGATAAACAGAAAACAAAATAAAAAACTGCAGTTATGATTATTTCATTTTAGCTTTATAATTTATAATTTAGGCCAAACTACTTACTTTGACGGATCCACCAAATTACGTCACGCGTTTTCACGGGTTTAATAAAATATGAGACTTATATGATTCATAATTTCGCACCTGTTGATTTATACCACAACCATAACGTAAATAAAACATCTATTCCGAAAAACTGCTATTGATTCGTTGTTACTTATAAGCGATTATATAAATAAAAAACATACTTAAATTCAATTTTGCAATTGATATCTAAAAAACAAGCAATACATGAAAACATTAGTTGTCATAATGTTATACAAATAACGTTTAACAACTTTTTAGTAATTATTTGGAAGTGATCATATCATCGCATTTCCGGCTATAAAATCACCATGATTGAATTTTTTTTTTAACTTATCTAAAATAGAATAATTTGAGAAAAAATCTTTTCTAGATAAGTTTTTTGACTTGAAAGAAAACTTTTGTAAATTTTTTTTTATAAATTGTATGTTTTTATAAGTAGAATATAAGAAAACTAGAATCGCTATACACTTATTTAAATTCATTAAATTAACAATTTCTTTTAAAAGCTTCGAAACAAATTGAAAAATCTATTTCTAATGGTTTTGTGATTTTCATCTTAAATAAACTGTGAAAACAAATAAGGTAAGTGACTCTTCTACTGGCCAGATCCCCTTTATCGACCACTTAGTCCAAAATTTGCATTAGCATTGTCAGAAGTGTAATACCTAAATATAATTAAAAATTTGAAAAGTGATTGACCTTGCAGGTCATCTCTGAAACTTCCTGCTTTTTGTGAGCTTGAAATGCTCAAAAATGTTCTTCGAGCTCAGAAATCTGAGAACTGTTTCAAATCAACATTTTTTTTAGATTTTCGAACAGTAATAATTTTTAAACGCGTCATTCAATATTGATTCTTTGGACAGCATTCAACGCAATTTTCTAAGCATAAAAAATATTTATAAAGTCTTACCTCGATTAGTTAAAGAATTTGAAGATTTTCTCAAAAAAACGTATCTTTTGAAACTTTCATATGGCTATAATTTTTTACGCGTCGTTTGATTTTGATTTGTTGAGCGGCATTCGATGCAATTTCTCAACCACAATGAGTGTACATTAACTCTTAAATTGATTGGTCGAAAACATTGAAAGTTATCTCAAGAAAAAAAATTTTTAACTTCCCGCTAAAAATCTCAGATTTTCAAAAATCGGGAAGTTATTGTTTTCACCCCGTTTTACAAAAATCGAGTTTTCATCAGATCTCGACGTTTGAAGGTCACAGGAAACTTCCCTGACTATTTTTACGATGATGTCCGTACGTCTGTATGTATGTATGTATGTATGTATGTATGTATGTGTGTGTGTGTGTGTGTGTGTGTGTGTGTGTGTGTGTGTGTGTGTGTGTGTGTGTGTGTGTGTGTGTGTGTGTGTGTGTGTGTGTGTGTGTGTGTGTGTGTGTGTGTGTGTGTGTGTGT